GATTATCAGCTCATATCTTATCTATAGCCATTATTCCCATCTACATCTATTTCTATCTCGATCTCTAATATCTATTTACAATGTATATCCAATAATTTCATCAATACATCAGCTCACATCCTCTCCATAACCATCAATCTATCTATCCATCAATCCAATCAACGACAGCCTTTAATCTGATTCATTCTACATAATCTTCATCCTCTTGCCTCATCATCATCCATAGCAAAAACCTATAATACCCGCCGGAAGTGTATGCTATAAGCACCGTCTGAAGTCACGAATAAGAAGAAGCACGAGCAGCCGTCGCCATAGAGGCCAGACTTGAGTTCTGGTTCTGATTCTGTTGCCGTTACTGTTGCTGTTGCTCAGTCTCTGTTTCAGTTTCAGTTTCTGTTTTGCTTGGAATCGTGAGCGACACTTGATGCGTCCCAGCCAGCCACTTGGACAGCGTCGGACGGGCGCCGGACTGGGGCGTGGCATGCAGCTCAGTTAAATGCAATTTACTTAATGCCTGCACCCGCTGTCGCCTCTTCCGCACTCGCTCCGTCTGCTTATTACTTCATAAGTTTTATTATTGCCAGCGAATGAGGCAGTTGAGTTGAGCTTGTCGAGCTTGTACATAATTGGAAAGAAAAACCCGTTGAAATTGAAGCGACAGCAGTTACGGCTACAGCAACAAACACGGCCTGAACCAAAGTGACTGTGGAATACGCGCTCGAGGTGAAAGAAGTGCCAAGTCTTAATCAGGCAACGAAATATGTTATAATATAGGAATGTGATACCGATACGTATATTATCTATCTATCTATCTATTAATCTATAGCACCTGATTCAAATTACTAGATGCTGGCTATAGAATAAGCTATGTATGATATTATTCAATATTTGGTTCGACATTCAGTGCCAATTTCAAGTCCATTCTCTCGCTTCTATGTAAGGGCAGTAAGTCCTATAGATTAGCCACGCCCATAACTGACAGTATGCCAGTATCTTAAGTCTCTATCCATGCTTCAAAGGACTTCCAAAGATGTCCAAAGCCAATATACTCCATTAACTCTATAAGCAAGTTCCAACAACAGTTGCCTTGACAAGGCAAGAACTAGAGAAAGGGAAAGAGATAGTGTGAGAGCGAGAGAGAGAGAGCAACAAATAGTTGCCAAACGGCAGCTTCTTGGCAACTTGTGTGCGACATTCTTAACTTGACTTTGCTTTGGCAGCAAGTTGCATCCGCAGCTGTTGCTGCAGCTGTTCAATAATGCAATGAAAACATTTAAGTTGCTGCAACTTGGCGACTGCCCGCAAGCCCCACCCCTTCGTGAACAGTTTCTCAATTGCAATATTTATGAGCTGCATTCACTGACAAAATCGTGTGGAAAATAACAATGCAATTGCCAAAAGCTTTTCCTAGAGTTGTCGCCCATAGAGTTGTCACCAGCAGCAGCAACAGCAGCAGCAGCAGCAGCAATATTCCAATTGCAATTGCAATATTTCTTCGATATTTATTTGTTCAAGTTTTGTGACTGACAAACGAGGCGAAATCCAACTTGAGCTACAAAACTTCAAATGTTGGTTACCAGGCACTTTGTCAAGCGGTTTGCCAGGCACACAAAACCAGGAAATAGCCGTTTACAACACGCCCGATTGAGCAGGCCAAATAACATATTTATAAAGTTGAAATCAAATTGATGTGACTTCAAGTTTTTGCTTTATATGAAATAGAATGACGTAAAGAAATCAAATCGCAAAACTTGTGCAGAGAAATATACCAAAAAAATACTGAATAGGTATATATGACAGCATTACAAAGAATAAACAAATATCTCTTTCTACCTCTCTTCCTCTTTATTTTACTACCATTTTGGCTAGATTAAAAACTTGAATTTGATTTTCAAAATGTGACCCTATTGCATATTAGGCAATCAATATATGCTGCCAAATATGGTCACACTGAACAGTAATCTAAATGCTGGCCATTAGCTCTGACTCCCTCTCTCGCTCATTCTCTCTCTATCAACAGCTGTTTTCAGCTATTTCTGGCTATGCTCTGCGTTTTTTTTACAGCTGCAGACAAAGCTCAAACTCGTTTCTGAAACGCGAATATCGAGAGTAGGCACTAAAACAACAAACAGCATTGACTTGTGGGCGTTCAGAGACAATTAGCCGCATGCCGCAACCCGAAACAAGTTTTGGTGAGTCAACAGCAACAGCAGCAACAACAACAAGAACAACAACAACAGCAACAAATATTCGCTATACGGAATCAATGTGGCGCCTCAAACCAAGCGTGACAGAAAAAACCAGACGGCTGGCCATAGATGAGCCTGATGTGCTAGCTGTATGCCCTGTTCTTTCTTTCTTAGAGAAGAAACTATAATTTCATCTATATGAGCATTATGAACTAGCTGTATATGCGCTTCTTTCCTTCTTAGAGCAGAAGCTCTAAACATGATTAACTAGCGAAAGGATATGCTGCTTTCTTTCTATCTTAGTGAAGAGAATCTAAATATATATAGGAAAGCGTTAGAGAAGTGAAAAGTAAAAGATCTATAAGGCATATATGTATTTTAGTTTTTATAACGATAGCTAACGATTATTTAAAGCCAAATATAACAGCTCAAAATTCAAGTAAAAGTGAAGAAAAACTTATGAATTTTCCAGACAAAAGATATATTATATGTAAAAATAATAATATTTTAATATTTATTTATATTCTTATCATAAATACATATTAAAATATTATATTATAATAAAAATATTATAATATTATATTATATATAACTTTCTGCTAAAATGTGACTGGACTAGACTTTTAACCCAAAGATATATTATATATGAAAAGTAGATTTTTATTGCAAATTTTTGCTTTTTCTTATTAATTTTATAAAATAATAAATATTTGTATATTTTCTATTTATATTTTATTTGCTTTTCATATTAGTTTTTTTATCAAAATAATAAAGTACTTCATTAATATTTTTTAAATTTTTTATTTTCTATTTATATTTCTATGTATATCTATATATCGAAAATTAATCTGTCAGAAATAAAAATCGAAAAGAAAAATATATATTATTCTTTTCATACTCAAACACAATTTTTATATACCTCATCTCTATCTCATCATATGTACAGGGTATACTCAAACAAGAACTATGGAATTTCAGCGAGGCAAATACAAAATGTTCGACTAAAAAGTGCAGTTAAGAGTAAAGCGAGTGAGAGAGAGAGAGAGAGAGAAAGAGAGAATGAGAGAGCTGAGGCTTATGTGTAGTGCTGCAATTGCGTTGGTTAACAAACGTATTAGCGTGCATATTGTATAGACTATATTCCATTTATTTCATCTTTCAGCTATGCAAACGTCTGTCTCCCAGTCTCTCCATCTCTCCATCTGTCTGCCTCTCGATCTGCCTGTCTGTGTGCATTGCCAGCTGTCAGTCATAGTCAGCTACAGCTGCTGCATTCAATTACCATGGGGGCAGCCCCTGCTGATGCCGCTGCCGATTTCGATGCTGTTTGACCATTAAACGCTTTGCCAAATGATTCAACATTCGACAGTTCGCTTGCTGCGCAGCAAACATTTATTTTTCGATTTCTTTGTTGTTTCGTTGTTTCCGAATTGCTCGTGTTTTCACAGTATTTGAAGCGCTTTGGCAGCTCTGACAGCTCCCCGTGCATAACTGTGGGCACAATTTCCAAACATTATTTTCACAGTTTCTTCTATTTTTGGCTTTGCTTGGTTTAGCTGGCTTTGGCCAAGTTTCATTCACGTGCAGCAAATGTGTTTAAGGCAACGCAACTTTTTGCAACTAGATTCAAATTTCCAGCCCAAGAGAACTTTGTCATCGCAACTTTTAGCCATGGCCATGGCCAGGCCTAGCTTGTTGGCCTGCTCTGCTGTGCAGCTAATAAAGTTGTGTTTGGGCTTTAAACATTTTCTCATTTGAGTTGGCAGCTTAGACAGCTGGCTACAAAATGTTATATTTATCTATCATTTATATGAAACTTTGCGAGCGAAAAGTTTAAATTGAGACAGATTTTGGCATAAGCTGAAGCTAAAGCAACTATAAGTAGATATATAGACTGGGAATACACATTGGGAACATTTTTAAATATTTTTTTTCTCTTTTTTCACTTTTATATATGTAAGATATATCTTAGTTTTTCTTGATTAAGTAGCATAGCTAAGCTAAAGGCTGCTTGAGCTTTGTCTTACGGCTGAGAAACAAAGCAGAAACGCGAGAGTTGCGCTCTGCAGATATTAAGTCAGATGAAGAGCATGACGGGAAATGCGAACCCAAGTCTTAATTGATAAAAACAGAGAAACAGAGCTAACAATCGAGCTTAAGCTCAATTTAATGCCAGGAAATGCAATTTATAAAGCTGTAGAGCATAAAGTCTACTCGCTATCTATATATGTAAATATATATATATATCGAATAGCATTAGCTGAGACTTTTTGTTTAATTATTATTATTACTATTTTTTTTTTTTTTTTTTTTTACATATATTCAAGGTAAACTTTATGCATCTAATCTAAAAGCTTTTTCTTTTTTTCAAGTGCTGAGAAACCAAGCAGAGTATTATGTATATATATATAAATATACATATGTATATGTATGTGTGTACAAAGATATAGATATGTAAATATTGTGCATGATTCATGCGCGACATTTTCTCATTGCTCAATGCAACGCCCAACTTTATGTGGCCATAGTAAAAATTATATATATATATATACATATATGCTATATATACATATATATCTATACATAAATCCATTGTTGCTGCACCCACACACACAGCGCTCGGTGTTGGCTTCTTCTTTTTTTATTATTTGTATTTTTTGCTGCCCATTTATGGTTAGCTTTTGTTGTTGATTTATTGTAGTTTAGCTTTTGTTTGTTTAGAGTGCGAGTTTTTTTCTTTTTTGTTGAAAGTTGAAAGTGCCCTTAGATGTAATTTATCGATTGCATTTATCGATAGAATCTTCTACTCACTTAATCTGCCAAAGCTGTGCGACAGCCTCTTCTTGAGCTTCTGCAGGGCGCCGCCTTTCTTCTCCCGCATTGTGACGCCTGAAAATGGAGAGAGAGAGAAAAGTTGGGGAGAAAAACTTTAGTATTGAGCATTGATTGATATTTTTCAAGTTTTTGTTGTGGCTAAGGAGAGCTGTGTTGTTGTTGTTTTTATTATGCCATGCCTCCGCGCGCGCTGCGACAATTATAAAACAAAACACGCAACAACAACAACAACAACAACAATCACAACAGAGTTGACATTACAAATTAACATAAATCAGTGGAGCGTGGTGTGCCATAATAATAAATAGATAACTAGGGAGAGAGCCCCACCACAGCCGAACGACACGCACATTTCCACATGAAAAGCCAATTTACATTGTAAAATTCAAATGAAAAACTACTTCAAATTTAGAAATGCATTTCGTTGATGGGTATATAGATATGTATATGTATGTGTGTATGTGTGTAGTGCACCAGAGTGCGGGCGCCTGCTGCTTTATATTTATAGTAAAACAACAAACTATTCCCCTCTATATATATGCATATATACACCCATATATATACATATATAGATATGTGTGTGTGTATGTGCATCTGTCTGTATTTGTGTGCATTCGTAATTGAGTTATATAATTTGATTGTTGTTTGACCAATGTAACATTTAACCAACTTATTTCAGCGCTCAGTGAGCCATGCAAATTGTGTACAACTTTTTGCTTTTAACCGCATCCATTTTAAAGGGCGTAATTGTTGTTGTTGTGTTTGTTGTTGTTGTATCAGCTGTTTTCGTTTGTTTATTATGGCTGGCGCTGTTTAGCTGGCTCGTTGATTGGCATAATGATTTGGCTAGCGCAGTTAAACTAACCGTATTTATTATATATGCATATCGAACGGTTATCCAACCAACATGCCAAATGCTTTTGTCAAGCAATTTATATACATACTAAATATTTCTAAGTACATATACATATATTTTAATATATATATATATATTTTCTGTAATTCTTAGAGCTTGCAGAACTTGTAAACTGAAATTCTATCTAAATAAAAATAATATAAATATATTGATGGCAAGTTTATGTCTCGTTTGCCTTTGTTGCTGATATTTCCTCGATTTTTCAGCTCAGTTATTTCCACATAACTCGAGAACTTTTAGAGTTATTGATATGATATTTGGTGGTTGGCTTTGCAGGGCGTTTACATTATTTAAAAATATTTCAATTCTTTTATAGCTGCTCTTATGCCTGCTCTAAACTAAGATATGGCATATTAGAAAGTAAATTGCAGTATTAATATATGCCTAAGACTACATGTATAACAATAAACACATACGTACAAATACGTGACATAATAGGTCTCTATTTTATACATCATAAGTTAGGGTAAGCCTAGTTAAAGATAGTATATCGTCGCTCGCCTAGTTTTTTTTCTAACCACACACTCCCTGCTCAAGCAATTTTCCCATTCTAGCTCTCATTGATATGCAGACTGATTAAAAATTTGCGAAGAATTGATTATTGAACTATTTCTACGTCGCCCCATTATAAACTTCCAATCGATGCATTTCTCCACAGTAGACACAGTTCAGCTAGCCCGGCCAATGCCAACTGGTTTGTACAGTTGGCTTAGCTTCATTTGCATGCCATACAAGTTTTTGGCCAGGAAATTGGCACTCGAAAAGTCATTTATCAAAACTCTTCCACTTGGAACATGACCACCAAAACTTTGGCATTGATGTGAATGATGCCACATAATGCTGCATGCCACGCCGCCGGACGGACAGCCACCTTGACAGTCCGACCAATGCCAGACAGAGCCACAGCCACAGCGACAGCAACGGCAACAATTAAACATAAAAATATATATGTATGTATATATGTATATACATTTATATATAGTTTGTGTAGAATATTTTTCTGGTACTAAATCATTTGGGTAAGTGTCTGTCTCTTTGGTGTCGCTCGCCATAGCGATAGCCCACTGTTATTGTAGTGTCCATTATTATCATTATTATTGTGATCATTGTTGTTGTCAAAAGCAATTTGGCTTAACAACAATGCAGACAAGTCGAGCGCAAGCAATTTATGCCATCAATTCATAGATAGACAAGATAGACACATATATACACACATACATGTATGCATATATGGTGCGTACACATGCCCATACATGTATATGCACGTACGTCTATCTCGTATGCATATCGAGCACTTCAACTCAATTAAAGGCACACTCTCATAACCATAAGCTCATAGATGGCTCGCTCTTGTACAGAGAGAGAGAGATAATAAGCATATAGAAAAGGAGAGAAAATTATATTATAATTAGTAGAAAGCTAATTATATATAAATATAATCCAGAGGAGGAGAAAAAATGATAAAGGGAGAACGAGAGAGAGAGAAATAAGTATAGCTACCCAGAGAGAGAGACAGAAATAAGTATGGTTACACACAGAGAGAGAGAGAGAGAGAGAGAAATAGGTATAGCTACACAGAGAGAGAGAGAGAGAGAGAGAGAGAGAGAGAAAAAGAATGAGATACAGACAGAGATAACAACACAATAAACTCTATTACAGACATCAGAAATAAGCAAGTAAAAACTTAAACAAAAAAGAGCCACCCAATAGAACAAACACAGGGCACTCCCAAAGCTGACTCCCTCCTTACACAGTTATATACACCTATTAAACACCTTGACGAGAGCATAACCCACCCACACACGTAAACAATTTCCGTGGGTATAAATTATGTTAGCAACGGGCACAACTCACCAACAACAACAACAACAACAACAACAACAAGAGCAATAACAACTGCAATTGGTTGGCTTCAAGTGCTGGCAAACCGATTATGATTCTTTTGGCCTTGGCTCGCATAACGCAAGCGATTGCATACAAATGGCAGGCACTGTTGCTGGCAGCGAATGCAATATGCAAATGCCGAATGTCGAATGTCGAATGCAGCTGACAAATTGTTTTAAAGCTAGGCATTAGAAGAGGAAAAGAGAGAGGGAGAGAGAGGGTAAGGGAGAGAGAGAGTTGGAGCAACGGCAATTGCATTTACATTAAATGACTCGCAGTTGTCGTTGCTTGTTTTTAAAAGCCCATTAAAGTTGTTTGCGAAAACTTCTATTTTTTCTATTTTTCTCTCTCTCTCTCTTGCCTAAAAAGGCAAATAAGCAAAATGAGTTGCAACAAGCTGCAAGTGGAAGTTGCAGCAACGTCAAACTTATTTAATTAAGACTGCAAAAGGCGCTGCGAAAACTTTTCAGGCAGATGCTTCACTTGCAGTTGTACGAGATCGTCGTAGTTGTTGCTGCTAGGTTGCATTAATGAGTAGCATGAATACACACACACACACGCACACACACACAATCATAGACACACACTCTCCCCCCTCACCCTCTCTCTCTCTCTCACGCATTCAAATCAAACTTTGCAATTTGGCATCAATGTCAAAGACAGACGAAAATTGACTGGCAGCCGCAGCGAGTTCAATAGCCCCGCCCTGCTTGGGGGCTGGCGCCGAGGTGCCTCAAAAATAGACTGAGACAGCGCCACAGTGACTGACAGCATTATATGAACCGCTTCTCACAGGCAATTAGCACCAGACAAATTCGCCAATTGACCGTAATCAAATGCCCGTTAATTAGGTGCGAATATTCACTGTAAAAAGAGGAAGAGCCCAACGCTGTCTGCCAATTTGTATATGCGAATCATTACTGTAGCAACTGTCGGCAACTGAGTCACAATTAAAGATTTTACTTAATTACCAGCTTTGCGTCCCTTTAAATAACTCTATCATTATTTCTGACTAGACTAAGGAAAGTTTTACTAGCAATGACGGAACAATTACTGGAATGTAGCTAAATTAGCTAAAGAAGTTTTGGTCTGATGCTAGGATTTACATACCTAATATAAAGAGAATCAAATGGAAGAGAATATAGAATAGAGACTAGTCTTTAGCTGCATCAGTTGAGAATTTGACAGGAACTTTCATTTCTATAATGCACTCAGTTCACACTTCTCCCTCCCAAGTTCAAGTACCTCTTACAAGGTACCAGGTACCGTCTCGATTGTTCCAGGTGCCGCCTCTTCATACCTCTGCCTATCGCATATCAAAACCATATTAATATATCATAACACCTTTATACAAACACAAATTAACCTATATATTCTTATCATATCTCAAGAATACACTACTGCAAAAATAATAATAATCCAAATATTTATCGTAACATATGTTTTAGCTATCTAAGAAATTCCGCAAATGTTTTCAAACTATTTACTATATTCGCTAAAGGAAAAGCAAAACTGCATTAGCTTTCAACTTATTATTTCTTGATAATATATAAAAATTAATTGATAAGTGGTTTGATTAGTATTTCTTTCATATAGGTGAGTCAAGTCAATACTATATACATAAATGAATAATACAATGACTAAGAAAAAAAAACCCATAAAAATTTGGCAAACTTCATCCGGGAAACGAAATACCCCTTTGTCAGGGCGATTGAGGGTGGGACGTAAATGAATTGTGGCGGCGTATGAAATGATGAGCACTCTTTAAATTTCACGTTAATGACGTAATTAACTTTGAGGTGAGACGGGAGGGTGGGCGTGGCTTGCGGCAGCCGGTGACATGGGAACTCTCTGAAATTGTTGCGAGCCATGGCGTGGCGTGCCACACGACGTATACGTGACATTTTGGCCATGCACGCTCATTGCTCATGCAGCAGCAGCCACGCCCCCTCGCGCCACACACTCTGCGCCCGCAGGCGAACCACCACCGCCTCTGTCACATTTGTGGGCGCACGGCCAAGTGAAAATCGGTAGCATGAGAAAATAGATTTTCTGCAGAAAATATTCATGCGAAATATTTTGACACTCGGCGACAGCGCAGCTGACTAATTGCGAGAGTCGAGAAAGAGAGAGCCAGATTCCCTCTCTCTCTCTCTGTCTATCGTTGGCCAAAAATAGAGGTTTAAAGTGCAGCCAGCTGACGGAATTGAATGGGCCGTTGATTAAATGGCTTATAAATGACGTGTAGACAACTTGCCAAT